AAGGGGAGATAAATGCTTATTTTTTATACATTTATATATACAAGATTTTATATTATATTTCAAGCACTTCAAGCACATGTACGAATATATGGTAAGAATATTTTTCAAAATAGGGCAAAATCGAACGTCAGGTCTATAAAAATTGTATAAAACTATTCAGGAGACGTGCAAGGGGAGATAAATGCTTATTTTTTATACATTTATAAATACAAGATTATATATTATATTTCAAGGAACTCATGCGAAAACAAAATTTAAATCCTTAAATACGAATCTGTGCGTGCGAAAAATTTAGATAATTTAAACTCCATTTGAGGTTATGAAAAAAATACATTTCCTATGTGAATGTGTCAAATCCAATAAGAAAAATCCTTCAAAAAACTGATTTAAATTGGTTTATTATTCCAAAAACTGAACAAAATTGATTTGAATTCTTCCAAAGAGTCATTTAAATTGGTTTGTCATCTTTAAATATACATTTTCTGTGTGGACGAATTTGAAAGAATCGACTGAGAAAAATCTAGCAATTGGAAAAAAACCTAGTAATCTTTAAATAAAAAAAGCTTGAAGTACTAGTCAAAACCTTTCACTTGCCAGAACTGCTATACATCTAAATAAAACTATTTGAAACAATCCACTCAACAGAACTCAGGTAAGTCCATTGAAAAAAAGTGCGTACACTTCGTTTATTTAAAGCAAATAAGAAACGTTGAAAAATTGAAAGAGCAGCAGACCAATAAGAAATTGGTAAAAATTGAAAACTTATTGCTTTTTTCTTTTCTCTTTTTCAGATCCATTCAAATTCCGAAAGGGAGCATTCCAAAAACAAGGAAAAGCCTATTAATCCACTCATACAACTACAATAGTTTTCAACAGAACTCAACCTTTACTGCGGTAAGTGCATTTATTTTCTTATTTGCTGATATCTAATCAGAAAATCGAATTAATCACGTCTGTCCTTTAAATTTACGACTAGAAAAACAAATTAAATCACAATTGCTTCTTCCAAGTAGAAGCCCCCTCGCAATGAAAGGGGCAGAGAGCTAAGAACAAGCCCCCTTCGCAATGAAAGGGGCAGAGAGCCAAGTAGAAGCCCCC